ACTCACTCTCGAGGCCCCTTGCCTGGCCCCCTACCCTCTGACCATCTCCACCAAATTGAGACCATTCTCTTTGCTGCCACCCAGGGGCAGCCTTCTGATGTCTTGCCACCTCCTCCCAAGTTCCAGAGATACGCAGTAATTAAAAGCCTGGATTTGGAAATCAAATATCTGAATTCCATTGTCCACTAGCTATGTGATATTGGAGAAGTCACATAACGTCCCTGTACCTCAGTTTCTTCATTTTCAAGCCGAGGTGGTCTGACAGCCCCAACCTCACAGGGCTGTCATGGGAAGTAAACAAGACAAGTGTAGAAAGCACCAGGGAGGTGCCTGGCTCACAGGCAGTGCTCTGCAGACGTCACTTTTACTCTTGGGCCACTTCCACTTTTATCCAAGGCTGATGGGCAGGCTGGTGGGACTGACTCAATCCACCCTGGCTCGGGTGTCCATCCTCACGGGTGAGGTCCCTCCTTCCCCCAGGACCATGGACCACTGAGATCTGCACCTCCCCATCCCAGGTCCCAGCAGGAGGCAGCCCCTTGACAATGTGGTTTCAGGGCCACCTACCTTGGCCACCCACAGTTACTGAGCCTTGCCAGGCAGTGTCCTGGGTGGCTTCACATAAAGATTGGCCTCACGGGGTATCTGTGGCTCAGGTGTGGTCCTGGCCAGCTTCCCCTGGAGAGGAGGGCTGAGCTTTGCCAGAGTCAAACACCTTCACTACTTACCCAGGCCCTGCCCGTGGCCCCTCGCCTCTGCCTCTGCCCAAAGGTACCCAGAGTCCTGGTTGCCTCATGTCTCCAGCAGAGGCCCAAGAATTCCTTGGGAGCTGGATTAACAAATTCAAGAGCCCCCCAGAGTCCTACCTAGCTCCATCCAGAGAGGGCCCCACCCACCACCCCAGTAGCCTGTGTTCCCACAGTCTGGTGGGAGCCACATTGGGAACAGGCCTGGAGGCATAAGGCACTTGGTCCACAGATGAGAGTGTGTGTCCTGGCCTGGCTCACAGAGCTCCTGCAGAGCCCCCTGTCCTGTAGCTGCAGGGAACTTCCTGTCTGGGTGCCATCCCAATGGTGTCACAGAGTGAACATGGACTGGATTGTGAGTCAGGAGACATAAGCTCTAAACTTAGCTCCACCAGCTGTGTGACCTAAGGCAAGTCACTTACTCTCTCTGGGCCTGTTTACCCCCTTCCATAAAACGAGAAGCCTGGAGCAAATGATCTTTAAGGCCTCCTCCAGCTCAGGCACGTTCTTCCTTGTAGCACAATGCCAGGTAGACAGTAGGTGTTCAGGAAACGTTTATCTAGTAATTTAACTACAAGATTCAAGGCAGGATTCTCCAGGTCCCTGCACCCATCTGCTTTCTCACTCTGAATTTTGCTTCTGCTGCTAGCTGATTTGTGTCAAGTGCCAGCTCAGGGCTTGAAACATAATAGTGTTAAACCATGTGAGTTGAATCCGTATATGTAGTCTGTTTACAGTAACTCGGAGACAGACAGCAGAACAGAATCTGAGTTGAACAATAGGAGCTGATCATGGGATCTCAGGGTGGGCTACACATTCCTCCTTGTTACAGGTTGCCTCTCCCTCGGGGCATACTGCAAGTCATTGCACTGGGGCTCAGTGTCAAAGTGCCACTACTGTTCCCTAAATGACTTAGCCCTGCTTTTGCTCACATTGTTCCCTCTGCCTTGTCCAAGACACCTATGCCCCACCTCTGCTTGTCAAAATTCTATCCATCTTCAAAAGACACTTTGTTTTTGAAGCTTTCCCCTGCCCTCCCATCACACATACTCTCCCTTCCCTTTTGTATTTCCCTTGTAATTCTCATCTATGCCTCTCTTTTGTGTCCACAGCTGTCCCTTCCCTGCCAGCAGAGTGCAAACCCTTTGAGGGCAGGAGTTGGTCCTCTTCATTCCTGCATTTCACTCAGACTGCATCCAGCAGGTGCTTAGACCACATCCGTTGATTTGGAGGTATCAAGATATTTGTGCATGGTTATGCTTTTGCAGAGTCTGATGGACTGACTGCCCCTTGGAATGTCTCCAAGATTCCAGAGGCTAAAAATATCTCCCCAAAGCCAGGGCAGGGCACTTCCTTGTAAGGAGTAGGATTTATTTGCCTTGTGAGGCTGAAGGCTGTGTCCACCAGGTGGCGCCTCACCCTCAACTCTCCGGTTGCCTTTTTTAGAAGAGGAAAGGTTTCCCTTTTTTGTCTCTGTTTGTTGGCTTAGATCCCCCACTTACAGAGACAGTTTGTGTAGCATAGTTCCCTGTTATCAGTCCAGCACCCAGATTCAGTGCCCAGCTACCCATTCCCCACTCAGGACTGGCACCCTGAAGAAATCGAGGGTGTCCCTCCAGAGGTTGCTAAGTGATGCTGAGGGAAAAGCCCCCTAAAATCAGTATCAGAAGACCTAAGTTTGTGTCCCCACACTGACACTTAGTGGCTGTGTTTCTTTGGACAAGTCATGTAACCTCTCTGGGTCCCTGTGAGTGTGGCTGAGAATAAACTATGAGAAGTTACATAAAAGCACTTTGAATGTGGACCTGGAGTCAGCCATACCCAGGCTCCTGTTTAAACTATCACCCGTCAGCTCTGTGAACATGGTCCACTTCCTCAACTCTCTAAGCCTGGCTTTCCCCATAAGTGAATCAGAGTTAATTCCAGTTGTTTTAAAGAGTTGGTATAAGGATTAGATAGAACAATAAACGTACAGTGTACATGATAGTGCCTGGTGTAGAGTAAGCATTCAGTTCCTAACAATCTCATGTACAGTATGTGTCCCTAGTCCTTAAAATAGTGCCCAGCAGTTAGTAGGTGCTTAATATATATTTGCTGAATGAAAGGACTTCAAAGATGAGGAAACGGAGGCACAAAGAGATTAAACACACACACACATCAGGTGCCAGCACTAGGGAACGGTGAAGCAGTGAGAAATATCCTTGCAGTCTGCCTCCAGGAACTGCACCCTCAATCTCTATGCCATGCTGACAAAAATGAGGGTGGTACACACCACCCTTTGTTCATTTAAGGTATGCATTTAGAGTTTTCTCAGGTACCTGTAGGTGGGGCTGAGTTGGCAGTGAGAGGCATTAGCTATCTGAGAAGCTACATAGTTTTTCTCCCCCAAGAGGAGCCAGGGACCAATGGCTTCATCCATGACCAGGAGACAAGAAGCTCTGCAGGGTAGGATAAACTGGGAGCTTGATGCACACACAGTCCCCGGGACAAGAGGGCTCCTCTCACTTCCATTGCTGTTCCTGTAGCCACCCAGTCATCCATTCCAGACATTTACTGAATCTCCTACGTGCCAGGCACAGGCAAAGATTGATAAGATGTGATTACCAATGATTAACATGTAGCTGATTCAGATCTACCACAGAGGGATCCTCCAAGGAGGGGGCCTAGAAGAGCAGCAATCAACCATCTGGGAGGCTAAACCAAAGGGAGAAGCATTTAAACTGGGCATTGAAGGACAAATAGGAGTTTGCCAGCCAAGTGGGGTCTAGGAATGAAAGGCATTCTGAGCCTGTTTGGGAAGCTTAAGAGATTTGGTGAGGTTGGCACGCTGGGTGAGAGCATGGGCAAGAAAAGGAAGTAGAAAACCAGGGAACTGGAAGTCAGTTAGGGCCAGATTGTGAAATATGCCCATAGAAGAGATGGAACACTATCCTGTGGTCCGTAGGGGAAGCAGTGTATATACAACCAGGTCTGTGTTTTAGAAAGATGCCACAGTGCACAAAGGTTGGATTGGAAGGGTAAGGAAGAGAAACCAGCTGCAATTACCAGCTTTGTGTCTTAACCCCTCTAGGCTTCTTTTTCCTCCTTAGTAAGTGAGGAAAATAGTTGTATATATCTCCTGGGTGGTTTTGAGGCTTAAATGAGAATACCTGCGAAGCACAGTAATAGCAATATTGTAAAGCACTGTTAGGCTCATGGGCTTTGCTGGGTTTGTGTCCTGGTCATGCTGAGAAGTCTGTTTTTAATACGCTCGATGGGAAAGAAGGTTGGAAAAGAGATTGCACTGATAGGACTCTGCAGTGTGGGAGAGGCAGTGGGATTCTAAGTGAATGACGGTCCCTTTCTCTGACATGAACACGGATGGCCGAGTCAAGGCCTGAGCCCACCTTTGGAAAGAATAAGTCTGAGGTGGGCACTGGCAGGAAATGGTATTCCAGATGTCCAGGTGAGAACAGATGTCGGTTCAAGCCCGGCACTGCTCTCCTCTGCTCTCCTCGAGGGCCAAGGAAGGGCCGGGAGGCCCGGTGGGCAGTAGTTGAGAAAGAAAAGGGCCCAGCCTGAGGCTGACAGGACGCTCCAACTCAAGAAGACAACTCTCCTCTTCGAGGCTGGACCGGAGCCAGGGAGGCAGGGCAGGCAGGGTGGGCAGATGTGGCAAACTTGGCTCAGTCGGACCGAGCCGCCCTGCCCTGAGGAGAGAGGAATCTGAGCTGGGAGTTTGGCGCCGACGCGAAAGGGGGGCACCAGGGTGGTGTGCGAGGCCCAGAGAGAAGGCAGGAAGCCGGGAGGAGGGAGTCGGGTGGAGGCTGTGGAGGGGAAGGGAGAGGGCGGGCAGGAGGGGTGGAGAGAGAGAGAGAGAGAGAGACCGAGAGAAAGGAGGGTTAGGGGGAGGAGTGAGGGGAGGAAGGGTGGAGAGCAGGAGAGAGGAAGAGAGGACTCCGAGGGGAGCGAGCAGGCCGAGGCGGGCGCAGGGGGACGTCGGCCCGGCCGCCCCCACGAGCCAG